GCCTCCTGAGCAGCTAAGGTCAGTAATCCCAAGCAGTTTTAAGAAACTAAAATTGCATTGCAAAGTAAGGCTGTGCTATGATCAAAGAAACAGCAGAAAACAGAAGAGTCCATTTCAAGGCTGCTGTAGTTGTGTTTTCAAACCATAGTATGGGAATTTCTCACGGAGTCAGCACTAAAACAATTCAGACCTCTTTTCAGCCTGAACTTTGCTCACTGTCAGTATCACATACTTCCTGTCTAGGACAATGAAAGGTTAACATACATGGCATTCTAAAGGTATGTAAAAACAGCCCTGAAATAATCTCACTAGGGTGTTTCATTCTTATACAGAGCCTCTCAAGACAAATATTTCCTCATTTCTTATTAATAAATATTTCTTTTAAAAATTACCATGGTATCTCCAAGTATCAAGTCTTTCCAACTATTCTAAGTGCAGCTGGGAGACAGGAAAAAATTCCCATATATGAGACTGTAACTTAGGCCATAACACCCATAAAAAAAACACACCAGCATCTAGCTTGCATCCAAACTGTCTTCTTCAGAACAGGCCTTGCTACACAAAATCATTTTTTTCAAGACTGAGGAGGTCCTATCTGTCTGAAATTGGGTCATTTGCAGGATCATTTAGATAGGAAAGCCTCAAGCGTTGCAGGTGTCTTCTTTTTTTTTTTTTTAACATCACCTAAAACTGCTAAACTAACTAGCAAAAAATATGTAATCCTCATATACTTAAAAAAGGTTTTTAAAAATATTGCATTGGTCTCACCTTGTCAAAGGGTGATAACCCCTTGATTCTTGCTCGAAAATACCCAGCAGCCACCAACAGTTCCAAAATTTCAGTCAACTTGATGTTCTGTTCCTCATCCTCTCTTGTTTCAACCTGACAAATGAACATCGCAACAGTAGTTCAGTTTTTCTCCATTCTTCAATTAACATTTTCCAAACTTCATCTTAACATAGACCATGTATCAGGAAAACTTTGACTTCCATTAGCAATTTGGTTCCTAATTTGAAAGTCATTGAAGAAATAGGTAATGCATTTCTACACGGGTTTAACAAAATATTTTTTTTCACCTAAATACTTTAATCTTCTTTTACTGTCCTAGATCACTGCTTGCCTCCAGCTACGCAGAACTGCTCCTACTGTTGTAAGACAGATAATTTAGCCTCCATTTTGCACATTTCTTTCAATTTCAGGGTTCACAAAATCACACACCTCAATTTAATGCTTCTATAATACTTTTATTAAAAAAAAAAAAAAAAGGGAGAAATTCACGTGGAATTCCACTTTTTGGGTAATGCAATTTTAAGCTAACCCAAAGCATGGCAGTAACAAAAAGTAAACTCTGACGGGCAGCCTGGACCGCTTCAGTGCTCCGAAGCCTCATCAGCACAGCACCCCTGGGCTTCTGTCCCCGCGCTGCAGGATGAAACCCCACAGCCCCGGGGACGTACGGGATGCACCGGGGCACAGAGCACCCCAACACCTCCGCCCTGGCCCGGCGACACAGCCAACACGGCTTCAGGTCTCCCCCTCAGGGGCTGCAGGGACCCACCTACGCGCCCTCCCCGCCTCCCCTGCCCCAAATCCCTCCGACAGCCTCCTCCGCTCCCCTCCCACGGAAGCCTGGAAAGCCTCGCAAGCAGAGGGGACAGGGGAGCGCAATGGTGCCCGGAAGGTGACCTGCACAGGCGCTGCCTGCAGCCCCGCAG